ATTAATTAACTGGAACTACTCACCAAGGGGTTACAAGGGCTGCTGCATCTCAAAGATCTTCAGATCCATTGGCAAATATCTTCCTAAAGACACCCTGGCCAACCACAAATCACTTGGCTTGGCAGAGCCTTGACAGATGAATTTCGATTGTAGAAGTTTTGACCAGAAAAGGCTGTTGATGATTTCTCTGAATCACAACCTGGGGAGAAGCTGCTCAGAAAGGGTGATAAAATTATTCCTGCAGAGAGCAAAACCATAATTAATTCATGTCTGATTAATGAGACCAACTTAACACTCACCAGCATCAGCAGTGTCTGTAAATGCAGGAATGAAAGTGCTAAATAAAGGGCAATATAAAATGTGAGCTTTAAAGAGAAATTATTAATTACAGAAGGTTAAAAACAGTGAGAGTAGATTTAAAGGGAGCAAGAATATCATATAATAGACTCAAGGAGAAGCAAAATCTTACTAAACTGTGGTAAATGGTAGATGGAATGAAAGAATTCAGAAAACAGATGTATCACGAAGACAATAGAAAAACAAATGAGCTAAGCAATTGGAAAATGAAACTGAAAGTGGAGTTTAATTGGATATTCAAACCAGTATCACTGACAGGCCAGAAGGTGACACAGGAAATGGATACTGCTCAGGGAGGGATGATAAAGTCGTTCCAGCATTCCAGCTGCTGTCAGAAATGAGGGAGCACAGCCAGAGAGAGAGAGGGGAAAAAGAAATCTGCAAACAGTGCAGGGCAGAAATGGCATAACCCAGTTAAAATGAGGGAAGTGAGATGCCAGCTTGCACTGCCAGCACTTCATGCTCCAACACCAACCCCCAGCCCCTCCACATCTGTGCACAGCAAAGCAGCCCAGCACCAACATTCCATCAGTCCTGCACATCTGCCCTTCACTTCTGCTGCTCTTTCACTCACTGGGCAGGTTCTTTGCTGAGAGAAATCCAGAGACTGAAGCAACATATTATAAACAAATGAAAAGTCATCACAATCAGTTTTAATGAAGTGCACAGAATAGCAATTGATCATGTCAATAAAAATAAACAAATTAATTTTACATCAAGTGTGCTTTATTTCCTCCACAGGTATTCTGTTAAATAAAGCACCATATATATACTGCCAGGCCACAGCTAAAGAGGATTCTTTACAGAATCAAATTTCTTGTGGTTGTTTAGTATACAAGTAAACTTAATTTTGATAATAAGAACCACAGCGATCTGAGGCAATCTGCCTCGATTTATAAGGTACAAAACTGGCACAGAGGACACCATATTATACACAGTAAAAATGCCATAAGTTTAAATTACATCATACAGGGCCACGAGGCCCTGTCTCCCAGACAGCCATATTAAATGAAAGCCACTACAGTGAACTCTTAATTACATAAAACATAGCCATTATCTGATTGCCCTTTAAGAAAGTGTACGGTAGGATGCAAAATAAAATAAAATTAAAAACAAAACAAAACAAAAACCAAAAAACAACAACAAAAAAAAAAAAGGATCTGGAGTTCTGCCTGACCGAGAATGAAGCATATAAATCTATCTTGCCATTCAAGCAGAGAGCACTGGACAAACTGAAGCACGAAACAGAAATAAGCAAAAACTTATACAAACAGCATTTTTTGGGGGGGAGGAGGGGGAAGAAGGATTTTTAAAAAAAAAAAAAAAAAAAAAAAAAGACTTAAAAGCAGACATGCTCCATCTAATGTCAAGAAGCAGCTTGGTTTCCTTTGCCGGATATCCGTGTGACCACGTGAATCGTCGACTCAATGGTCCTGCACAGGATGTCTAAAATGTCCTGCTGCTGCTGCACGTGACTCAACAGTCCTCTGGAATGGGCACAGCCCAGCCCTAAACTCGCCTCGGGCTCCTGGGCCGGTAAGGCTTGGCCGTCGCAGCCCCTCAGGTCTGCGAGGTCGGATAAAACCGCCGAGATGGACGTGGAAGGGAACTCCGAGTCCTCCTCGGCCCCCACGGAATCCTTGGGAACCTGCAGGTCTTTGAATTCCTTGCACTCCTCGAATTTGCCGTTGCCGGGCTGCTCCTCCGCGTGCGGCGCCCGCGTGGCCAACATTACGTCTTCTGAAAAAGAAGAAGGGCCTTCCATTCTGTACTCCTTGACAGAACTGCTCTCCAGGGGGGACGGAGGGTCCTGCTCCGTGCCCGGGTCGATGATGGACGAGTCCCGTGTCTCGTTGTCCGAAGTGCTGGTGGGGGTCAGAGCCTCTCTGGGCTCGGCTTTGATGTCGCTGAGACAACTGTCCACCGTGTGCTCCTCGTCGCTGCTGACCCGCCGCCGCTTCACGGGAGTCGCTCCTTCATCGTCTGCAAGGAACGCGACAGCTCGCTCAGGGAAAAAGTGCTTTTCCTGCCACCCCCCCCTCTGCTTTCACATTCCCATCCTTTCCCACATTCAATACATTTCCCGACAGAAAATCCGTGCGATTCATGAATTTTGGCTCCATAATAAAGTATTTCGTGTGCAGTGTCGGGGATGGCCCAACATCCATTTTATAACTATCAGAGCCACACCGTTAGAAAAAGGCAAACCTTTAGTTTTTCTTTCTTTGGCTTCTTGCTCTTGTAGTGAGTTCCTCTGTTGCTGACAAGCTCTACATTTGTTGAGAAGCTCTTGTAAAGTTGGGATCAGGGCTGAGTTGAGCTGTTTGGGAGTGTGCACTGAGAGCAGCAAGGCAAGTGCTCGGAGGTCCTGGAAAAACAGAGCAGTGACAAACTCAACAAGCCTCATTTCAAACTGGATTAATCCTGTGCAGTAAGGCCCAAAGGATTAAATTCCTGATATATTTACACTCCTGAAACGTCCCACTGGCTGCTGTTTGCTGATCTTAACGCAGATCTGCCCCAAGACAAAACCTGGCTGGGTTGGGACATTTCTCCCATTAAATCTGTGGCACTTGGCATCACTTTAACTCCCCACAATGTGACATTCCCAGGTTGCCACGCCCTCATCAGGAGCCCAGCTGAGGCACAGGGTGGAGCAAACAGTGCCCACCCTTAACCAGGACCTGGCACAGGGCACTGAAGGGTTTCTGTAGGATGTAAATTGGCATTTTACCAACTTAGGAAAGACTCACCCCGTTTAGAGTAGAGCTTGCTTTGGAAATTTCAACCCTCTGGTTGCTGAAGTCGGATTCTAGGCTTTGATACTGATTTATTAGATTTGTAATTAGAGTATTGATTAAGTTGGCACAGTTTGCTTCAGAAAACACCTGCCCTTGCACCTGTGAAAAGAAAGTGGTTTTAAGCCACAAAAAAAAAAAAGGGAATTGTGAAAAATATATCCCAAAATGAAACAGCATCAATGACTGCACTGCTTGGAACGATCACCTACCTTGAGAAGAAAATGGGTCAGAAAGGTGTACACGATGTTGTTGTTGAGAAAGGTCCTTTCGTCCATCAGGATACATTTTATGTATTCTGCAAAAACTGGATCCTCACAGAGCAGCTTCACACAGTTCTTGGACATGGCAGACTGGCAGGGAGAGAGAACATGGAAAATCACCACTGGAAGTGCAGGCCAGGCCCACTGAAACACAGCTCGGGTCTAGCAGGTGTCAGCAAATGCTGTCCTGGCAGGCCAGTTCATCCCATCAGCACATAAGGGAAGGGTTGGAGCCTCCCAAAGACATCTCCCCGTTTTTCTTTCATCATCCCAGTGTTTGTGCCACATGAAAAGCTGGGATTTCGCAGGGCACATCCACCACCCCACCAGTGCTGCTGTGGGGAGCTGTTAAATGTTTGCAGGATGGACCGGGGGAAAATATCCCAGATTTTTACACTTACCAGGCTCTATCAGATGGCAGCAACATAATCCCAGGGGTTTAACTGAACAACACCCACCAGTTACAATTGCTGGGCTCCCCCCTGTTCCACACCCACTGTGGTTTGCCTGTATTTCCATTCTCTTGGTTCTCACCCTGCCCCTTACCTGAGTCTGGCACAGCTCGGTCCAGAGCTTGGGGAAGAGCGCGAGGTGCAGTGGCAAACCTTCGTAAGCAACCAGGACACCTGCAATGGCAGCAGGAAACGCGTCAGTGGGGCGGAATTTTGTGGGAGAACGTGGGAAATTCCTGATCAAAGCAGTGCCAAGGTGCTGTATCGTTTCCTAGGATCGCATTCCAAGTATTTCTTATGATCAGAAAACCCCCCAGCTGTGAGGTTTGTAAGGTCCATTTAAGTGAACACACAAATGGGTGATTCAGGGGGTAAAAGAACATCCTGTGATCACTCCTTGGACAAGGTTATTGGTGTGACACTGAGGTCACTGTGCCACTCATCCTCAGGCCCAGGGGGGAAGACAACACTTTAAATATTGTCATTTAATTGCCACTGAGGTGCTGAGGATTCAGCACCTGATCCAAAGCCATTGAAACTGCAATAGCAGTTCTGTTTTAAACTCTAAATGCACACAAATCCTGAATTCTCCCTGGCTGCCTCAGCTCCTTTCTGGACAGGCCCAAAGTGTGCCAGTCACGCGGATAAGGCTGCACTATACCTCGTACCAGTTTTGTGGATCAACAAATGCGAGTTTTCACGAGCTCTGCTTTTTTTTAAAAACCCTGAATATAAAACTCAGTGGAGAAGCACTCAAAGTTACCACAAGGAAAAAAAAAACCACCCCTTGGGCTGTTTCCCCCTGATACTCACTCATTTTAACTAAAGTTTCAGTAAACTTTTCACAGTTGATTGCAACCCGACACAGGAGGTGGATGAACTGGTGATAGGAGAAGAAATAGTCCAGCAGCATCCGGTCGTAAACATCATCTTTGCCCTGAAGATTTAAGGGAGCTTCATTTAAACTACAGAACAGCAGGACAGCTCCCAGAGTTCCTGAACATCTCCCTTCGTGTCACTGCGCTCCCTGCCCTAAAATGCTTCGGTGTGTGCTACAGAACAGTGGGAATTCTCCAGGTGCCTCCTCGCCCAGCCCTTGGTGTGACGGGAGGAGGGATGGCAAAAATTCCCCAGCAGTAAAATCTGTCAGTGGAGGACTCTGAATCAACACTGAGAAGGTGCAAAGCTCTGCAAATACCACGTCTTGGAACGGGACAAGGAAAGAATCGGTAGTTTTACATCACAAACAGGTAACTAAGTATAAATACATGACTGCTGTTTAAATTATCAGCTGGCAGCTACGATCTGCAGAATGCAGAATTTTCTTGAGACTGAGCTTCCCAAGGTTTTGAAGCAGAATTTTCAACGTCTCAATGACATGCGTACGCCAGCGTTTGAATTTATTTTGGACGTACACGCTTGAAATGGCATCAGCTTCTGTAGAGCAAGAGAGCCAAAGGAAACCTCACCAGCTCGAGCAAACAAAGCAACCGAATGAAAACCAAGCATGCAAAACCACAGGGAAACGGGACTGTGCATGTGGTTACAGAGGTTTACAAACCATCTGCTTCCTAACGGATAGGAACTCGATATCAAGTCTAAAATACGGTGTCACGTGGGATGACAACTTTCATGGTTCGGACATTTACACCGTGACGTGTCACCCCTGTTACCTCTGGCTACACACGATGGGAAAACCCACCACAGATCATTTCTGGCTCTCTATGGGGTTTGGGTTGTTTTTTTTTAAAGCACTCGGTTCACACGGTCGATTTGATGGTGCACAAAGAGACACAGCATCGTTCTGAAAGCTTGAGAAAAGAAGGGTTACTTACCCTACAGTAACCGAGCTTCTTCGAAATGTGTTGCCCACACAGATTCCCATCTACGTGCACATAGGCCCCATGTGCAGGAGATTGGATTCTTTCTGAAAAGCTGTGGCCACTGGGGCTGTGCCTGCACCCAGTGTGTCCTTGCGACCACTGTACCTGAGGGCACAAGGGGTATGGCGGCTTCAACCACCACTCCATTCCTTCACCCGTAAGATTCCCCTAGGACAGCACCTGGAATTAGCACAGCGGGAGGAGCACAGAATCTGTGTGGACAAAGCATCTTGAAGAACCACGGTTACCGGACAGCAAGTAACCAGTTCTCCCGCTTCAAATGATTGTCCAGACATATTCCTGGCAGGGTGGGATTCACCTGACCTGCCTTTAGCTATCTAAAATCCACTCGGGGTCAGCGGAGAGGGAGGCAGAGTCACCTCATCCACGCTCAGGGCAGGAAGGAGGGGGGTTATTTACCTCCTTCCCAGGGCAAACTATTTACGGCCGCAGGAGGAGCTGGAAGTTGAGCTTTTAGATAGGCAAAGCGCCGTGAGCTGAATCCCACCGTCGGTGCAGCTGTAACAACGGGACGTGGCAAACTGCCCCACCAAAACTGGCATCCCATCAGGAAGCCCACAGAAGGGAAAATGGGAAGTGGAAGACTTAAAGCCCCCTATGACGTTGCAGGCACTGGATTTTTACCCGTTACACCTCAGTCCCAGCTCAATGGACTGATGGAACCTGCAGGATCTCCTCGGCTGTCTGGCAATAAAGCTCAGCGTGGTGTGAAACCCCTCTGGACAATCCCTCAATCTCCTTTATAAATGTCACAGACAGATTGGAAAATGACCCAAATGTGTGCTATGGGGTTTATTTTTCCTAACACAAAGTCCTTATCCTGTCTGGAATATGGTCCCTGTCACCAAGGGCAGGGAAATGGTGCTCCTGGAGTGCACAACTAGAATGGAGTATATGAGGACAACACATCTTGAAGAAGAATTAATGCTTTGCTCACAAAGAAAAGGTAAATGCCATCGAGCTACTGGAATTCTTGCCATACTTCTATAAAAATGGGCAAAGACCAGAGAAAAACAAGCCCTTTTTTTTTTTAGGGCCACACGTGACATACCTTGCTGGCTTCCACCATGGTAGGCAGGAGGCACATGTTGAGCTCGGGCCGCGGAGGACGAATATTGCTTTTCCCCCCTATTAATTTCAAATTTTCACGACATGGAAAATAAGGTCCAAGAGACACTGTAGTGTGAGTTCGGATAAAATAGGGATAACATTAAAAAGGTCAATAATTTGACAGCAGCAAAGGAACACGACAGAGTAATAACAGTGCAAGAGAACTTCAAAATACAATCACTGAAATACCTACTTGGGATATTACTGTGGTGGTATGTACAATGATTGTGCTGTAGAAATGGAACCAGAGTATGTAGGAAATCATGAGGACTTAAAAGTACAAGCTCCTTGAGGACATCTACAAACAAAAAGTTGTTTTTGCTATTACATATTGTTATTTCTTAACAGCAAACAGTTCAACTTCAGGCTCATGCATTTGCAAACTCTCTTCCACATATCCCTTCTCACTCTGCTCCACCGTGAGGGACACCTGAGTGACACCCCTAAATCAGTCCCAGCTCCCTTCACCTCCACGTGCCACTGGGAGAAAAGCTGCTCAGGGGCAGATCAACCACCAGGGAGGGGGGTCAGCCTGGAGAAAGGAGAAGCTCAGCAAAGTTTACCCTCTTTGCTTCTTCTTGAACAGGTCTGACTCCTGGAAAAAGCCAACCAGCAGCAGAGTCAGGAGGACAACGAGGAAACACTCCAAATAGGGGGAGATGCATAGAAATCAGGCCAAATAAAAGGTAATTTGGACACAGTTTTAGGCCTTTATCAGCAATCCATTAAATAACATTTTTTAAAAAGCCCAAAGTAGGAAAAGCCTGGACCTTCCTGACATAGTTCTGCTAATGCAAGAGAGACACCTGTATTTAATATCTATGTCTACATTTTAAAGAGCAAACCCATGCCATTCTACCAGCTATTTTAAGCTTTACTTCCACTGCTCCACCTGACAGCAGCGGGTCAGAACAACCACCAGCAAAAGCTGTTTCTCAGATTAACTTGGTCACCCTTTCTGAGGGGAGGGTTGGCTCACGTTTGGATTTTAATGCAGATTTGGAACTTGGTTCTAAACTCACACCTGAACTGAGGAGTTATTCCTCAGGGGGCAAATCCAGCTGACTGTTTGTGCCTGGGCAAGTGGGAATATTCATTTAAACCTGACACAACCGGAATTCTTCAGGATCAGAAAACATCAGCGCTGACGTCCTGACAACATTTCCACGAACAATCCCGACCTCCGGAGTTTTCTGGCACTTACAAAAAGTGGCATTTACACCTCACAGCAGGTACCAGTGCAGGACAGGTCCTTCCTGCCTGCAGGTTCCTGGGCAGGACTTACCAATGCAGGCATTCCTAAGCTCGGGAGGGCTGTAGGAATTGAGCAGAGTCAGGAGCTTATGGGCAAATTCAATCCGCTCCTGCCACTGGATCAGAGCTTGTTTCACATCTGCAAGGGCAAACATCACATCTGCTCAGGGCACTGCTCAAAAGCACTTCAAATAAAGCACAGAATTTCGCAGCTGGAGAATCTCTTTTCCCTCTAATATGACTGTAAATCCACCTAGAAATCTGTTACATCAAATTTATGTAATCTAGTTTCACATTAACAATAACAATTTATTATCTATTAATAACCACATATCCTACTGTCCAGCAGGTTTTTAAACAGATAACGAGCAAGACAAACCCACCAGGGTTTGGGTGAGGAAAATGGAAGTCACAGACAACGGGCACAATCCTTTCAAGGGTTATAAACAAACCTTTTCTTTGCAGATAGGGACGTGTTGACTTCAGAACCGACAGGAAAATGGACAGCAGCTCTACCAGGTCTCCAGTTACATGGCAAGCTGTGGCCTCATGGTACATCATGTGCAATGTGTTAAAGGACTGGGAAGAAAAAAAATGCCAGGATTAACGAGGCAAATTAACATATTTGTTAGTATTTCTCTTTTTAACCTGCAGATACATTTATGTCATGCTCAAAATGTGGATATATTGACAAAGCTCTTTGTGTTCAGGGTAAAAGCTTTGTGTTACTGGCTCAAAACAATGGCCAAGTTTTCACAGCTTTCTTTCCAACCCACTGAACAAATCTGAGTTTGAGACACAGGATTTTTGGTCCACCTGGAATTCTGGGCCAAAGGGATACAAGAGGTGCAGGGGGACAGACACGGGGGGGTGAATTTGGGGAAAAGAAAGGGGAGATTAAAGTAGATGCCACTCATTTTTCAGAATGCTGCTGAAGGACATCTGATTGGACATCAGATGAATTACTCCTCCTTTTTTAACTAAAACACCTCTTGGGCATCTGTGACTGATAGAAAAATTGGGCAGGAAAAGCAACTCATTTCTGAACTGCAGAAATTCCAGCACAAGAAGTGAGATATTTGATCTGCTGGGGGATTTGAGAGTGAAAGGAGCAGTAACCTCATTCCCTGGAAAGCAAAACCTTGCCAGGCCATTTTTTATATTTCAGGGCAGATAAAAGACACCCAAGTGGAAAACTTTTCTGGATGTGACAACTCCTAGGTGCGTTATTTGCCACCACCCAAAACACTTCCAGCCAACAAGTGAAGATACAAGATCAGGTGATGTCAAGCTGTAAAGCAGCATTAGTTTGACCTCATTTAAGCAATGTTAAATTCATTTGCTATTACAGACTCCTTATAAATTTAATTATTTGTTGCTGGTATGGGTCAGGGTTAACTAAGCTGTTATACAAGTTCTTTTAATACATCTGTATGCAGGTATCTTAAATCTACTTATTTTTCATTTATGGATAATGTTATAGCTCAGTTCCCAACTTTTCAGACCCAGTTTATTGAATTTAGGCATTTTCACAACAAAGAGGAACAGATATCCTGGACTAATTCTACAGTTCATTAATCAAGAGCCTTACAAGTATAACAAGCTCCTGAAAACTCAACTTTTCAAACAGCACTGCAGTGTGTTCATTGTCGTTTTCCCAGCTGATTTGGGAATTCCATCTATCTATCTATCTATCTATCTATCCATTTTCCCCAGAAAATACAAACCGGTGACGTAAAAGGAGTTCAGAGAATTTTTTATACAAACCGCATAAAAGCGGGACTGGAATCGACCTCAAAGCATCATCCAGTCCACCCACATGCCTTAAGGCAGACTAAATATCCCTGACAGATGTTTGCTCAAAGCCCCTCCTGACAACTTCCAGCTGTGCTGGCAGACCCCTCCTGCACAGCCTATTCCCAAATCCCGTTTTTCCAAGCCCCTCGTCCTGCCCCCAAAGTTTATCCTCTCCTGAACACACCACTCAACACGTGCCAAGAATGAACTGAATCTTATTTTTATCTTATTTTTATGCCTTGTCCAACGCATCCAGGTTTCCATCCTTGTTCCCAGAGGGATCTAACACGTCCTTCCCGTGGTGCATTGCCAGGATATTTAATAAACAAACGTTCTCATCCATCACCTCCATAATGGAGGTGCTGAACAGAGTCCAGGATATTGGAATGACACCAGAAAAGCAGAAATTCACTCCTCTCAGCATTATCTGCTGGTGGATTTCCCTCTGTCCTGATCTTTTTACAGGTAAAGAAATCTTCTTAAAGTCAACAGGGGAAGTACCGATGTGAGATGTTTGTTATAATGAAATAACAAAGGACTTACCTCGGTCATCAGAATCAATCCTCTGTTGAACACAACAAGAAGTCTGTCTTCATCAGATTCTAATAATATTCTGAAGGCACTAGGAAAAAAATCCAGCCATTGAGAACACTGAAAACTGCCTCCCATCTTTTCATAATTCAAAGAAATGCTCAAAAACGTTCAGCTCACGCTGTATATTTTGGTAAATTTTTCTTCTTAAATGATACATTTAAACAGGCTCAGTTAAGCATGTGTTTGTTTGGCCTTTTAAATGTTCAAAAACATTTTCATCAGACTATTTTATGCTTTCAGCAGAACACAAAGAAAGGATTGTGCTAATGGATGATTTCTCTGCACATAAAAATGATTCCAGAGTGTCTGGGACGACCTGGTCGTGGTTCTGTGCCAGGTGACTCCACGGATCCCTTCCAGGTAACAGTCTGTGCTTTTTACAGGTGTTTCAAAACATCAACAGTTGCATCTAAACCCCCAAACCCGACCCTACACACACAGGCAATTTACAGTTCCCTGAGAATGCCCAGCAACAGTTTCAGATGAACTATTAAGATTACAAATTAAAAACTCCTGGAAGACACGATACAGTAAAATTCTGCCCCACAGGCACAGCTTCTACCAAGCATTTCTGCCCCAAAATAACAACCATCAACAAGAGCAGCTGAAACTACAGCTTTTCCCATCTAATCAGAGTAGGCTGAGGGTGGAATTCCAGTGGAATGCCGGATGGGAACAGTGCTGTACCTTATCAGAGTCGTCCAACAAGACCGTCCGTCCAAGCAGCGCAGGTAACAGCTTATGGTGGTTTTCTTAAATTGCTTTATGTCCTCTATCTCCTCCTCTCTCATGTCTGGCCTCTGAGCTACAAACAGTTGCATGAGGTTAAACAGCTCTTCTACTGCCTAAAAAACACAAAAATACTGGGTTAGAGCCATCTCTCTCAGCATGTCATTGTTTAGGTCTGGTTTTTATCATTTACTGTCTGTGTGCTACTTCTATTAATTAACACATGGAACAAACACACGTGAGCACATTTAGATGGAAATCCATTTTTAAGCATTACAACAAAGTTATAACATTGTAAAACGCCGTGGTGCTTCCTAACAGCACAGCTCCTTGCCACATCACATCCATATACACATGTACAAAGGAATCTGAAATCCCCATCCCAGGGATCAAACACTGGGAAAGCTGCTGGTGCTCAAACTGCTGCAGATTGGAGAGCACTGAACACAGAGGAGGAATTTGGGTCCCCTGCAAGACAAACTGAGACTTCCAAGGGGAGATGCCAAGCAGGAAAGCAGCAGGACTCCTCCCAGGACTGTACCAGGGTAGAGAACTTGTCTGTGAGCTGAGCGAGGCAGATGTGCAGCACAGAAGATTCCACACATCCTCTTGTCTCTCCTTCACAGAAATCTTTGTATTCTTTCTGTCCCTGCACACCCCTGAAGGGCCCCAAAGCAACTTTCACTGGGCAATCGAGCAAAACCAAGTACTTTGTCTCTTAAAACCTTTGCAGGGCTGTTGTTTCCCCGTTATCAGCTTTAACATCTACTCTCTACTGGAAGTGCTGTAGTGCCAGTGGCACTGCCAGTGCTTTGCCAAAGCTGTGTGAGTGTTCCCAAGCTGAACTCCAGGCTGTCCTCCACTGGAATGCAACAGGCTAAATTCTGGCCCTGCTCCAGAAACTGGGAATTCCTCCAGCTTCCTGGGTTAGAACACACCCTGCTTTCCAGACCCCCACTAAAGGCTGGTCCTTGCTCCTTATGGCTAAGCCAGCATATGGAATATTGAACACTGGAAACACCCGTGTCTGCTTCCAGAAAAAACCCTCACATCTGCTCTCCAACCGCTCCACAGCAAGGATCATCCACAACAATCCCCCACCAACACACAGTAAGGAAATCCAAACGTAACCAATCCTTCCACCGCTGGATACGATCAACAATTATCCGTGTTTGTCATGACGGGAGACATCGGGGGAAGAGGGGGAAGGAACTTTCGGTGCCGGGTACTTACCCCTGGGTACTGGCTGGCGTGGGGGGTGAGGTTCTTGAAGGCCCACTGGATGTTCTGGTGTGATGCCAGCTGCCTGGTGAAGGCCGGGGACTGCTCGCAGCAGAGCCGCAGGATGCCGTAGTAGGCCGGGAGCATCCCGCGGTTGAAGAGCACCACGTCCTGGTCGTCGTGGTCGGCCAGGATGTAGTTGAAGGCGATGTTCTTGGTCACCACGGGGTTCTGGACGATGAGGCGCACGTTCTCGGGGCACTCCACGCACACGTTGTACCAGAAGGACAGCAGGGCCTGCTTGTTGTGGTTGGTGGCGATGGCCGGCTCGGAGAGCTTGGGCTGGAAGAGGTTCCACAAGTCCATGAAGTAAGTGGAGAACATGAGTTTCTCGGTTTTGGAGATCAGACAGTACGTCATGAAACTGAAGTAGGGCACCAGCTTGGTGGTGCCGTGGACGGCGGCGTCGACGTAGAGCTTGGCTCGCGAGAGGAGGCCGAGCAGCACGTTGTACACTTGGTGAAGGACCACCGTGGTGTCGGGGCTGAGGGGCAGGTCACGGGTGGGGATGTGCAAAGAGCGGGTCGATCGGAACATCTGACGGAAGGAATTGCTCGGAATAAGCGACACCAAGAGATAGGCTGCAGCTTCAAATAGAAACAGATTTGTTACACACCCGCTCAACGGCCATCTTAAATTACACTCTACATTCCATTTACGCGTCTCAAAGTGTTTTTACAGGCTCTGCTATTACCACAGTCACACTAGGGATGGAAAAATCCGAGTGGACAGGACTAGTGAAACATGCTAACAGTGGTGCTGAGATGTGCTTTCAGGCCTCTTTACCCCATATCCCTGTGTCCTGCCTGGTTCTCCCTGTGCTGACACTGCATCCCATCCCAGGAACGCAGATTTTTCCATGACTGAACTGTCTACTGCTCAATCAGAACATCATTATCTCTTCAGAGATGTTTGCAACTGGAGCCTGTTGCAAAGCTGTACCTCCAGTTCCCACATGTCCCTCAGCCCCAGAAAATGTGTTGAAATTCAGTGTGTCCTGCACTGTGGAATCTCCTTTGTGGAAAAAAAAAAAGGAGACACAGGAAAGGCTGAAAATGTGCTCTGGCAATCTGACACTGTTATTCTTGGCAGAACCAGAGAGCCAGGACACCCTAAAACTGGGGAGAAGGCACAGGTGGCTTCTCCTTGACCCACAAGTTCAAAGGACTCGACTGAATTACTGTGAGGGGTGGAAGAACAACACGTACTACTCCTACCTACAACTAGGGGATGGGCGCTACGGAAAACCTCCTGGATTAGCTCTTTTTCTGCTTTAGGTTTTCCTGGACCTTGCAAATTAACCACATGAAATAAAGAACCTACTAAAGTGGTCATTTAAGTCACCAAAGGAAAAAAACATCATTTTCATCAAAACTGGGTAGCGAGTCTTGATGAGGCCCCCCAGTTGCACTAAGCCAGACAAACCCAGGAGCATTTGTGATGCCAGGGCCACCCCATGCACAAAAGGAGAGTCATTTTCTCCACTCGAAAGCCACTTACAGGTTCTCACTCGGGGGTAGTTGTGGGCCAGGAGGAAACGTTCCACCCAGTTCTCCATGTTCTGCAGGACCCAGCTGTGGGCCAGTTTGTTGCGGGGGGTTTGCACAGCCAGCCAGTCCAGGCACTGAGAGGGGTTGTACTCGATGACCTGACAGCAGAGGGGAGAAATCAACAGCAATGCATTAACCTTGGCACTAAAAACCCCCTAAAATAGTTTTCAAAGATTTTTTTTTAAAAATCACTCAGTGCTAGCAAAGTACTTCCACCACTGCTCTGGCACACGAAGAAAACCCTTATTAAATTTCACTGATTTGTGCTTCAGAACCCTTTAGAGCTTTTGAAAGTTCAGTCTAAGTGCAGGAAATGATTCTCCATACTCATTCTCCATATTATATTAAGGAGTTGTTGAGATACGAAGCACTAAAACTGAACAATCTTGTCTTTATAAACAAATAAACGGGGTTTTTTAAAATATCCAACACAAAACCTTAACACTGAATCAGTATCTTTGCACATCAAAAAAACCATAAATGGTAGGCAAAGACGTTCAGTCAGCTCTGTGCAACTATGACAATTTTTTGGGGAAGGAATTTGCCAAGGAATAAATTTATTCAGCAATTTCCCAAGGCACTGAACAGCCTGTGGAGTGCTGTCTGTGTGGGATCAAAGCCCAAAGAACAAGGAGAAAATGCGGCTTCCTGGGCCCTTCTGGTTCTGTGCAGTTGAAAATCGGTTGACACGAGGCCAGTGAATGTAATTAATTCATCTGCTGGTTTTTATAAACTGATTTCTTTTTACCTTGAGCCCCAGGTGGCCCCAACAAGGAAAAAGGAACTCTTCCCTATGTAAGGAATCTGAGGCAGTAACTGCATTGCTGAGCTGCTCCAAGTGACTCTAATCCACCTGAAGAATCAGAGCAGCTGCCAGGACCAGAACTCTGCTTCTAACATTTTAATCTCCATTTAATAATAAACACCTGAAGAACAATCTCCCCCCACACCTTTATTTAGGAATGACAAATGGAGCTGTCGGGTTTCCTTGGCAATGGCTGGGGGTGATGTCATTGCTCACTGTCTGCAGAGGGACTGTGTTTTGTCACAGGAAGTTTAATTAAAAAAAACTCTTGGAAAGATTTCCCGAGGGAAATTGATAACCTGTTACTTCCTCACCCACAGAAAGCAGCTGGAGGTCATTCTGGACATCAAGAAAGTTGGGCAAGGCAGGTTTGTCTTTCACCAGAGGTCTCAACTCTGCACAGCAACAACCTTTTACAAACCCCAGCCCCACTTTTTGGAATGTTAAATGTTCCACAGCTTGGCCTCAGCAGTCTCCAGGCTGGAAAAGCTCAGGAATAAATTCAATTTGCTTGGGAACAGCAAATTGTACTGGGAACTCCAAAAGCAGGCACATGAAGTGAAAGCTTTACTTCCTCATCTATTGTTCACACCAAGGAATTTATCTCAGTGCCAACTTGTGGAAAAGTCTCTTTCTCACTTTAGAAAGCAAGAATATTAAAGGAATTTGTACATAATGGCCAAAAAAACCCACCCCACTGGCAACTGCTGGCTCTGGCTCAGGATAACTGAGAAAACAACCTGGGATTGGCCTGGAAAAATCACTCCAGACCCTTATTGTGAACACATTCCTTTCTCATTAAGCTAAAATTTCAATGCCTGTTGACTGTTGCCACTTATTTGGAAGATAAAAACTCATGGAGCAAGGATGACAATGGAATGTAAAACATTTCACATATGGCAGAGAACCAACAAGAGAAAAGCAATTTAAATTCTGGTTTCTTTTCCATGTTGTACCTCCCATATCCTCTGTAGAATGTAAGAAGCAAAGGGTGGCATTCCTGGAGGTCCCCCAGCAAATTCCATCAGCATGGTCAGCAATTTGAAGAAAGGATTGGCTGCCTGTGATGCATAAAAAGAAGAATATCCTTTTGGATCTATTTTATTTTACCCCCTGATTTTTTATTTTTTTTTTTAGAGTATTTAAAAAAACCCAACCCGATGTCTGTAAGATTTCCATGAACTGCAGACATGAACATTTATAAGACTTTAATCCCTCACTGTTTAATCTGTAAATCATCCATAAATATCCATATCCACACATGGAGACAGCAGAATTAAGCCACTGGTTACAGTCAGTGCAAGGCAACATGACACAAGATTTTTCTTTTTTTTTTTTAAGTTTTCCAAGACTCACCCAGCTTGGAACAACCCTTCAACAAAGGGGTTTTAATACTATAATTACATCTTTTGCATCTGGAATCCATTTGGAACTCTCAGTATTTCTGTTATGACCAGGGCAGGAATTCAGTCTGACTGAGAAATGTGTTTCCATGCACAGAACTGCAAAATATTGCCCCAAAACTTGAACAACCAGACAATAATTACTTATTTCTGCCTATTCCAAAACAAACATCTTAATATTAGCAATTTTTTTAAAAAAATTCCCATTGGTGGAGAATGTAGAAATACATTTTTTGGCTTGGAATAAAACTTTCATCCTGAGTGGCAGAGCAGATTTCTCCTTTCAAAAACTCACTGCACAGCGCAGTTTCAACTTCATTCAGTGGCACAAAAACTGCCCTGGATCACATCCCATGCAAGATTTTTGATCAGCAGAGGATAACTGAAGTGATTTAAACCAGCAGAATATGGATGCAGACTATTGACAGACAAGCAGTGTGTTTACACACCTCAGGAGTCAGCTTTGCTATGGATGTGAACAGCATGGACACAATCTGAAAGACAAAATGAACACAACTCAGACTTGTGCTTTATTCATTAAAATAGCAACAAAAATTACCTGATTACATTTATTAAAGGTCAGATTTTCAGTCCCTTGTACTCACATGCTCTGCCAGTCGATTGTTGTAGCGGCACAGACTGAAAATGAGGTTGCAGGTTTGTCTGATGTTGATCCCGTCACGGATATGTTGGAATAAAAAAGGAAAACCCTGCAACAAATAATCAGGTCTTACTGCACTGCCCACAATTACAGGTTTGTTTCAGGCTTCTCCAGTCGTTCTTGAATCACTTACCTTTCCCCCTGTCAATGCTGCCATGTCATTTTGGGACAAAGTCAAATGTCTAAAATAGAGAAAATGATCATTTTAATTCAGTAAGTAAAGAGACATCCAGGACTGAGTGTTTATATTCTTCAGGGTCACAACTTGCAACAGACAAGAAAGGTACTGATGTAAAAAAAAGAACAAAAAAATAAGCATTTTTTACTTAGAGCAGATAAAAAAAAGAAATCCAAATGTGGGCAACTGAATGTTTTTACATATTTGACCCAAGTCTTTTACTTGGTCAACAACGACAAAACCTTTATCTTTTAAATGCTTAAAAATATAATGGGCTCAAATACAAGCTCATCTATGCTGTTAAAAAAGCCCACAATAAACCCCTGAAACAGACCCATAAAATCTCTTAATTCCTCTCTGAACCAGCTTAGGTGAGAATTTATTTTGCTTTTCCAGCAGCTCTTGCCTTTCTGAGCGAGACTGTTCAACCAGCAGAGCAATCAGGGCAATCATCTTCTCCAGGGCAGCAGGCCTGTACTTCTCTTCTGCCAAAGAAAGTATATCCTCCTCTTCCTCCTCTTCCTCCCCTTCTTCCTCAGAGAGCACTTCAACCTGTGGCTGAAGGGGAAATAAAACAAGACAGCTTCAGGGTGGATATTTTGAGCCTTTATTTCAAAAGCCTTTGCATCGATCCCGCTCTTTTATTCCGAGAACTTTAAATAAACTTGCAGGAATCAAACCAGGTAAATACCAACTGATTTTCGTATTGAAACTATTCATTTTGCAGGAGCTAAATTGTATTTATAAAGCAAAAGGTAGGTTGGCTGAAGATGT